AGTGCACCCGTGTCGTGCAGTGCCCATGGAGGACAGAAGAGACTGTCGTATGCCCTGGAACTGGAGTTATGGACAGTTGTTAGCTATCATATGGGTGCTGGGATTTGAATCGGGTCTTCTGCAAAAACAGTTAGCTTTCTTAACTGCTGTGCTATCTCTCCAGCTGCACACATTTCTAATTCTTAAACTATTTAAATCTACTTCTCTTTGTATAACTATTACCTCAAAAATAACTTTAATTAGTATTTGTGAAATTTCAGATTTCCTTGCTTAAGAAAGTTTGGAAAAACACAAAGATGGAGAGTCAAAGCATTTGGTATTCAAGTAGTCAAACAGAAAAAAAAAGGAAGAGCTGACCAGGCATGGTGCATTTCCCTATAATTACCAAATTATAGTTCAAAGTCATCCTTAGCTAAATGTGGAGTCCAGCCTGGGCTACATGTAAGCCTGTCTCAAACAACAGAAGAATGAGCTGACTAGAAGAGACAATGAAGAATTCTACTTTGCTAATGAGTGGTATTAGCTTGATGCAATGAGGGGAGAAGAAAGTGGAGGAGAGATGAGGAATGAGAACTAATGAGTATTAATAGTCTAAGGCAATTTGGGGTATCAAAATGTGTTTTGCCAAAAATGGTAGCATCAAGATACCCAAGAGGAGAAACTATTGACTAGAGAGGAGACTGAGTCATTTTGAAAATGCTGGTTTGGGAGAGTGTTCCAATGTCCTATGAGGAAGTCAATCTAACAGCAATAAAACATGAGACACTTCAGAGAAGTCAGGCAAGGCATCAGCAAAAGAAACTCAATGTAATTCTGTACAGAGTCAGTAATGACTTGACACCCGAAGGGTCCAAAAAAATTCTATGATAAAGTGGTTTAATTTTATGCTGTGCAAAGTGTGCATGCTTGAGTGTATGTATGTATGTATGTGTGTGTGTGTGTGTGTGTGTGTGTGTGTGTGCACGCGCGCGTGTGTGCTTGTTAGGGAACACAACGTAGGGAGGAGGAGTAGTACTAACATAAACATTTCATTTCTTTGGTTCAAAGAGCCAGAGGAAACTGTTCAATTATCAAATGCTCATAAGAAACTGTCAAATGGAACTTTTAAAAATTCTATTCTTGTTACTTTTCTTTTCTTTCTTTTTTTTTTTTTTTTTTTTGGTCTTTTTGAGACAGCTGTAGTCCCAGCTGGCCTGGAACTATGTAGACCAGGCTGGTCTCAAGCTCAGAAATCCACCTGCCTCTGCCTCCTGAGTGCTGGGATTAAAGGCGTGTGCCACTGAACCTAGCTTTCTAAATTCTATTCTTAAACATGTTGTGGTTTGAATGTGAACTGTCGCCCAGAGGCTCATGTGTTTGAACAGTTGGTTTCTGGCTAGTAATGCTGTTCTGAAAAGTTAAGGAACTTTGAGGAGGTGGAGGTTTGAAGGAAGAAGTGGGTCACTAAGCTTTAAATTCTTCTGTTTTGAAGGAATAGAGATAGTTTATTAAGAAAGAAAAAGCACTACCAAGGATGATGGGAGTGGCTGAGCAAGTTGGGGAAAGGCCTACATTCAAAAGTTGCTTTGAGATTTTAAAGCCTGGTCCTGTCTGCTCTCTGTTTCCAATCCTGCCAAGACAGAAAGGGATGAGAAGTTACAGCTGTGCCCTCCTGCCTTAGCTGGAGTCACTCACACTACCATGCTTTACAGGCTGTGATGAACTGGCAAACAACTTCAAATTTCCATTCCTTAAGTTGGTTTTGTCAAGTATTTTGTCACAGCAACAAGAAAAGTAACTAATACACATATAAAGAAATGAAACAAATTTAACTAGTAAAGAAATATTTTCTATGAATATGAATCCTTAAAAGTTAAAAAACTGGTTGGATTAACCATGGGGGGTATCTCTTGAAAATTAAAAACTATATATAGAAAATGGGATATATTTTCCTGCAATTACAGGTTAATTGAACATGAGAACTAAAGGGGGTCTTTTGAGATAATTTGGAGATAATTTATTTCAACTACCCAAGAGGAAATTATCACAGGTTAAGTGACTCACACAATGTCCCACAGGCAATAAGAGGACCAATACTAGACATAATGCTCTTCCTATCACAAGATGGTCTAGTCTGATGAAAAATTAACATGTTTGGTGACATTTATTCAACTTATACCTTTGCATCGTGCTTGGTACCAATTGGGCATTATGAAAATAAAAAATTACATAAATGTTACTTATCACTATTATTCTTATGCAAGAAACGAAAAATAATGATGTAGAGAAGTTTTAAAACACTTAAATTACCCATGAAAGTAAATTTTATAAGAGGAAATCTAAGTTTTTCTTATTTAAATTACTATGATAATACATGACGATACATGAAAGCTAATAGTCTAGGAATTTCAGTTGTATAATGGGATATATAATACAATGTGATTACTTTAAGCATTTAACTCCAGAGAAAAGCTAATATATGCTTCCCTAGGAAGCATTTCTGATTTAATTAACAGTAAGCATGACCAGTCATTAAGGGCTTAAGGCTGGGCAAGAGTACAGTTAAGACATTAGAGATAAAGTTTAGATGGGTAAATAATATGCTGAAATTTGTCAAAAAATGCTAGAAAAAATGTAAGGCTTTCATAAGGCTCCATTTGGAATGTTTTATATCAAATGAAAGAGTTTTTCTCAATGTAGAAAAATGAAAGCAGTCATCAAACAGTGTGGGTTATATGAAGAGATACTCGGACAGATCACAAGCACTGAAAACACACAAGTATGTACATAAGTATCAAGGCAATCATCAGGGTTTCCAGATTCTACAGAATAAATGTACTACAAATTCCCTTGGTGAACAAGAACAAAAATATTGTGGCAAAAACACCACTCAAAGGCAGGAGAAATGCCTCAGCGGTTAACAGCACTGGCTGCTCTTGCAGAGGACCCAGGTTTGATTCTCAGCATCCACATGGCGGCTAACAGCCATCCATAACTCCAGTTCCAGGGGAGCCAATGCTCTCTTCTGACCATCATGGGCATTGTACAACATGGGTGCACTTACATACGTGTAGGCAATACACCCATATATATAAAATAAAAATTTAAAAAAAATAGCCTCACTGCTGAGACAGCCAACTGGCAAAGCTGATGCCAGGAAGAAAAAAAAAATCACTCAATTCTTTGAACAATTTAATTAAGTACAACACTGTAAATATATTTCAAAATCAACAACTACTCAAGCATTGCTTACAGAGAAATTTTTGGAAGCAAAATATTAAAACAGCAATTTTTAAAAAATTTTAAAAAAAAGGTGTTTTCTACCCTAATCCATTTGAGAAGTATGCGGTAGTCCCACATATAACAGTGAGTCACTACAACAGAGATTCTCTTCTTCGAGATAAGCATTGAACAATATTCATAAAACTTTGTGCAAAAAGCTTCAGAAATTCTGCTATTGGTATACTTCTCCCTCAAATTCTACAACTTTTTATTAGACTGAGTCAATGTTAGAAAGCACTGCTTGAAAAACAGATTCAAGTTAATGATCATCACACACTAACTAGTGGGCAAAGGTGACACAAACACATGAAATAAAAGGACAAAGTTTAACAAGTAACACACATTGTAATAGAAGACAAGACAATAAGAATTCAAGTGAAAAGAACTGATTTTCAGATATACTACAAAATTAGTGACTGTAATCTTTAAAAATTATTCACAGTTTTGGTATGTTCATTAACTTAGAAGCATAACATTAAAGTTACATTAAATATTAAATATATTTTTATTAGGATTATTACTTTTGCAATAAAGGTATACAATTTTTGAAAATCAAAAGACTCAAAATGTCCCAATTTTTAATGCATTCCACTCATACTTATAAATACCTATACCAAAGAAATTTTATGAAATAAGGATAGATATGACTGTTGGTAGTTGAGAAACATCTATAGTGTTGACTGTTCAGTAGTGATGACACTATATAGGCTTCCAATGTCTTAGTTAAGTAATCCAAAGTTGGGCTGGAGAGATGGCTCAGTGGTTATGACCACTTGCTGCTCTTGCAGAGGACCAGCGTTCAGTTTCCAGCACCCATATGTCAGCTAACAAACAGCAGTAACTTCAGTTCCAGGGGATCTGATGCCCTTGTCTGAACTCCTTGGGCATTGCTCAACACGGATGCATTTACATATATGTAGGTAATATACTCATACACATAAAATAAATAAAAATAATAAATGAAAAAAAATTTTTGGTCTTTTTGAGACAGAGTCTCCCTGTAGCCCCAGCTGTCCTGGAACTCACTATGTAGACCAGGATGGCTTTGAACTCACAGAGATCCGCCTGCCTCTGCCTCCTTGAGCGCTGGGATTAAAGGCGTGTGCCACCATGCCCAGCAATAAAATATTTTTAAAAAATAAATTTAAGGTTACATGAGTGATTTTTATCTAGACTTGCCAGATGCTTTAATAATATATATAACAGATATTTATATATCAAACATCAAAAACTCAAATGAAGTATATTATGTACTCAGAAGTATTTTTATCATAGTTTCAACAGAAAAAATACATTTTAAATGAAAAATATTTTTGAAAGGAGTACAACAAATGCACTCATTAATATTTATCTATTGCTCAGTGAGATCAATTAAAGATAATATATCTATAGGTCCTACTTGTCAAGATCTTCCCATATCCAACATGTACACATTTTATAAGTTGCTATGAAAATTCATTTTAAAAAAAGACAGAAACTATTACTTTTGTTATGACAGTACTTAGTTGATCAGTCTCTTATGAGATGTTAGCAATTTTTTAAAACTGTGCTTGATTCCATTTTATTCCTAAGGCTAACTTTAACTTCATTTTTAAAGGGCTTTAATTTTTTAGAATAAATAAATTCTTTAAAATGGCTAGTTCAAACACTGTTAAGACAAGCAAAGCAAAGACTAACACAAATTATCAAGACACAAATTTTCTAGTGCTGTATAAATACTAAGAAGAAATGAAGTTTACCTCTACACAGGCTTTCATCCCTGAGGCAGCAGCATAGTGAAGGGGTGTGTTTTTTTTGTTATCAACAGCATCAATAGCTGCTCTCTCATATTCACCCTGGTCAAGTTTTGCTCCTTTCCATCTTAAGATCATTTGCAGACAATCTGCTCTTCTGAAATCATCTTCCACAGGGCGAGCTAAGCGAGGATGAAGGGTTCCTTCAGATATCATAATTTGAGGTCCCATACACAACAAATGCATAGATGTTTCATTGTGCACATTCCGTTTATTTGGATTTCCATCTCTACCAAAAAGAAAAGTCCTAAAATGGAAAGGAAGGATGAAAATGACTTTTTCCTACCTTAAGATACAAAGAAGAAAAAACATTTAAAAGTAAGTTCTACTTCAAAGCTAAAAATTCAATTTCTATTGAAGTGTATGGTTCACAATAGGTTGAATGACTAATAGTAAGAAAAATGAACCTTAATGTCTATATAATATATGTGAATAAATGAGAGCAAAGGAGAAAAGAGAAATGAAAAGAAAGAAAACAAAAGGGAAAGGGAAAGAAAGGAAGGCAAGAGAAAAGGACGGATGGAGGATGTTAAGGGCAAAAGGGTAATTTAAAGATTAATATGTCAACTACAGAAGTATCTTAGAGTACATTAAGATTAAGCCTTCTATCCTAGTATTTTGCCTTTTCTTTATTAATCTGTCCAATATATCTTGGATATATATTTACTTAGAATGATGACCAAAGAGAAAACTGCAGGTAATAAATAAGTCTGAGACTAAAATTTAAACCTAGGAAACTTTGTCTACCTAAAGATCATGGCCTAGTCTTTGAAAAAATAAGGCATAAATTTAAACAGCATGTTAGTATGCTTGACTTGCTATAAGAAAAATATCCGCTGGACGGCTTGTAAATAACTAACATGTATTTCTCACAGTTTTGGACAATGAAGTTCAAGATCAAGGTACTAGTAGATTTGGTGACTGATGAAAGTTATTCTTTAGAGAGGCTTTCCTGTTGTAGTTGCACATGACAGGAGAAACTTTCTGGGGTATCTTTTGTAAGGACGTTTGCATGAGGGCTCAAGTTTCATGACTTCTCAAAGGCCCCATTTCCTGTTAACACCACCTTGGATAGGATGATTTTAAACATATGAATTTGGAAGGGACATAAATAGTCAGACCTATCACACAGTACAATGCTTTCTAGGGAGAATTCAGTTGCATTATTTCTAAAAGATCAGGATCCACTTTCATGATAGCAACCTTTATCAAAGACTGGTCTAAGTAAACTGCTTTTACTACCAAACTCAGATATAAGAGTTGAAAGCAGCTCCTAAAATATTCATGAACTAGGGTCACAAGAGTAATATTTGAGTCAATTCAGTGTCTATAACAGGATATTGGAAATAGGTTAGAAAATACTACTATAATACAGCCAGTGTATAAATATAGTACTGAATGGATACACGAGTTCCACATCTAAAGATCAATGCCTGCATTTTAATGTGGAGTTTTGTGATCATTAGGATTCCTATGTATCTAATCCAGAACAGGAAAGGAAAGGGAAGAAAGCTAGATCTTAAACCTTAGCTACATTTGGATTGTTTTTAAAACAGAGTGGCTTGAAACACGATTCCCACGGGGGGGGGGGGGGGGGGGAACAGCCAGGCACTGTGGCACACACCTTTAATCCCATCAGAGGCAGATGGATCTCTATGAGATGAAGGCCAGCCTGATCTACATATCAAGTTCCTGGCTAGCTGTGACTACTGGGAGACCCTGTCAAACCAAACCAAACCAAACCAAACCACATCATACCACACCCACACCACACCACTACACCAAACCAAAAAAACAAAACCAAAAACCTGACCATAAAGTAATTAGTGTAGACAATTCAATTTGAAGAAAAAAGCTGAGTAAGAAGTCTAATCTAATCAGAAGGTCTTAGAAAACTGTTTTAAAAACTCTAGTTCTCTCTAGCTCTTACCATACAATACTCAAGGCTCAGATACACAGTCCTTCAAAACTACTCAGCTAAGCTTTTAGTACCTGAATATGAGAAGTTTCTTGAAAGAAGACATGAGTCTCTGGAGCAGAAAAGATAAACTCCACTACTTACTTATAATAGTATTTTAAAAATGTTTTTTATATATTTTTTGCATTTTTTTTAACTTTTACAAAAACTTTGAGAATTTCATACATGTATATAAGGTGTTTTGATCCAATCCATGCCCACTCCTTCCCCTCCAACATTCCCCCCTCTGAAGAGGTAACCCTAAAATCTTTTAAGGATTAGATACAAGCTCCCAAATACTTTTGACATTTTTGGCCTTTGGAACAGAGTATGTTGCTAACAGGCCCAAGGACATTTTGACTTTTAGCCAAGAAACTGGCTACATTTTTTTTTTTTTTGTTTACCCTAACTGCCTAGCCAATTCCTACCTCCTATTCTTATCACGCCATCCTCTGAAGGAGTTACCAAAATTGCCAATAGGGAATAGGGATGCAGACCGCTCTGGCTTCTTCCATGCTGAACAGAGACGCAGGGTGCTCTTCCCAGACAACTAGTCCAGCCTTGGAAGACAAAAGAAAAATGAGGAAGAACCCAATAGAGGGATGTTTTTGGAAGCCCTTGTTAAGAAACTCCACTGGACTCTCATATGAACATTTGAAAATTGCCCTGTTCTGACTTTTTTCTAGTTCCCTGTCTAGAACTTGTAATGCTAATTATTCTTGCCTTTACTTCTTCACATCTCCTATTCATGATTCAAGGACTTTCTTTTCCCTCTTAGAGACCAGAGTTATATTTTAATTTCTTTTAGCATTTTTATTGAATTTTTGGAAAGACTGTAAAAAATTTTATATCTTATTATTATTTTACATGTATAAGTATATTCCCTGCATGCATATAAGTGCCCCCATGTTGTGCAATACCCACAGAAGTCAGAAGAGGGTGTTGGATCCCCTGGAACTGGAGTTACAGATGATTCTTAGCCTCCATGTGGGTGCTGGAAAATGAACCTGGGTCTTCTGCAAGATCAGCCAGTACTCTTAACTGCTGAGCCATCTCTCCAGCGCCTGCTTATAATAATCTTACCAATTCTTCAAATCCCAATTTTCCCATGGTCACAATGCAATAAAACAGATCAGATGTCACCCTGCATGCACTGGGCACTGTCTATATATAAATATGCTGGGCAGAATGCTGCTACCCCAAAGACATACATTGTATAATCCCTGGCACCATTAAGTACTGATCTTACATAGTAAAAAGGTAAGTTCCAGAGGTGATTAAGAATTTTGAGATGAGGAAATTATCCTGGATTATTCCTTAGAGACAAACTGGAAAATGCTATGCTGCTGGCTTTAAAGGTGGAAGGACCATAAACCAAGAAATATATTCGAAAAAGGCAAAGGAAGAGATTTTAACCTAGAGCTTCCAAAAGGAAAGCAGTCTTGACAACATTTAGATTTCCATCCAGTGGAACCATTCTGACTTTCAGAACTGCAGTAGTTTCCAAGCAGAAACTAATTGTTACGGATTAAATATGAAGTGTACCACAAAAGGCTCCTGTGTTCAAGGACTGGTCGTCATCTGATGGACCCAATCACTGGCAAGTGATTCAATTATGAGGGCTCTGAAATAATCAATGATTAATCGATTGACAGATTCATAATTTGATGATATATTCATAATTTGATATTATTGGGAGGTGACAGGAGGCGGGGCCTAACTAGAGGAAGTAGGGCACTGACGATGTGCCTTTAAGGGTCTCTCTCCCTCTCCTGTAGTCCCACCTCTATCTGTCTGTCTGTCTGTCTCTCTGGACTCCCCCCTTCACTTTCCCAGCTGCCAGGAGATGAGCATCTTCTTTACTCCATCACATCCTCTCCAGTATGACGATGTTCTGCTTTACCTCAGGCTCACAGAAATGGACCCAGCCAACCATGGGCTGAAATCTTTGAAACCATGCGCTAAAATAAATCTTTATTCCTTTTATGTTGATTCTCTGATACTTTTTACAGAGACAAAAACTAATATATAAATATAGCAAGAACCTTAGGCACACACCTTTAATCCCAGCACTTGGGAGGCAAAAGCAGGTGATCTTTGTGAGTTCGAGTCTAGCCTGGTATACACAGCGTTCCAGTCCAGCCGGGGCTACAGGGAGACTCCGACTCAAAAATACCAAAACAAAACAAAACAAAAATCTGGGAGGGTCTACAGTAAGATTTGTATAAAGACTTCCTCTTGCACAGTGAGGAGAGGAGGTGGGAAACCTATCCTCTTATACAGGCAAATCATTGTAGGGGGGTGGTCCCTGTGTTTTTACAATTTGGGGCATGTCTCCATGATCTCATACTTCACACACTCCTTACCCTCCTTTGAAGGTAAGGAAGTATCTCGTGGAAGGCAAATCTCTCTGGAGTTCTCAATCCCTGTTCTGCCATAACACATTTCTGGAGCTCATAGTTTAGCCTAGGTCCTACAGTTTGATGAAATTTGCTCTAATTTTCTCTACAGCTGTACCAGTCTTTAAGGTTTTCCAGTGCCTAAAATAACATCCAGTTCATGCTCTGGTAGGTTCCCAGGAACTGACCTAGCTCACCTAAGCAAACAACCCTAAAATGGCTCCTGAAGTCTCTTTACACTAGGTTCCACTCACCAGACGATCTGACCAACTCTCTTTTCTTTGCCCTCATGTAGCATACTAATTGTTTAATTTACTTCATTCCACCATAGTTATTTTCTTACATTTTTGTTCCATTTTCCACTTAGTTTACAGGCTTCTAAGACTTGGCCAATGTCCTGGTTTATCTTGAATTTCTAGTACACCATCAGACATATGGCAAATTCATGCTATAATCTGCAGGGGAGGTAGAGGGATCAAAGATACACTTGGCCTGTATGGGTACCTTTGTGTGTGCATCTGGAGGCCAAAGGTGTCTTCCTCTATTGATTGTCTTATTATTTGAGACACAGTCTCTCACTGAACCTGGAATTCATGGTCTCAGCTAGACAAGCTGATCAAACAAAGTCCCAAGATCCACCTATCTCTACCCTTCTAGAGCTGGTGTTAAGACATGTACTGTCACACTTGGCTTTTATGTGGGTGCTGAGGATCTCAAGTCAAGTCCTCGTGGACTGCAGAAGCAGGCACTTTAGCCACTGAGTCATCTCCCTAGTCACATGCTATTTCTGATGGACAAACTAGTCCATATTAAAATTTCAAAATTTGTATCAGTAACATGGGATTTGAGATCTTTCAAGTCAACAGTATAAACTCTGGTGAAGAATATGGC